AGTGTTAGTGACTGATGCACCAACTCCAGAAGACATCACAGCTGTAGTGTTAGTGACTGATGTACCAACTCCAGAAGACATCACAGCTGTAGTGTTAGTGACTGATGCACCAACTCCAGAAGACATCACAGCTGTAGTGTTAGTGACTGATGACCTAACTCCAGAAGACATCACAGCTGCAGTGTTAGTGACCGATGCACCAACTTTGGAAGACATCACAGCTGTAGTGTTAGTGACTGATGTACCAACTCCAGAAGACATCACAGCTGTAGTGTTAGTGACTGATGCACCAACTCCAGAAGACATCACAGCTGTAGTGTTAGTGACTGATGACCTAACTCCAGAAGACATCACAGCTGCAGTGTTAGTGACTGATGCACCAACTTTGGAAGACATCACAGCTGTAGTGTCAGTGACCAAAGAACCAACTATGGAAGACATCACAGCCGCAGTATCAGTGACCAAGGAACCAACTATGGAAGACATCACAGCCGCAGTATCTGTGACAGAGGAACCAACTATGGAAGACATCACAGCTGCACTGTTAGTGACTGACGTACCAACTCCAGAAGACATCACAGCTGTAGTGTTAGTGACTGATGCACCAACTCCAGAAGACATCACAGGTGTAGTATCAGTGACTAAGGAACAAACTTTAGAAAACATCACATCTGTAGTATTAGTGACTGAGGCATCAACTTTGGAAGACATCACAGCTATAGTATCAGTGACTGAGGAACCAACTATGGAAGACATCATAGCTGTACTATCGGTGACTGGCACACCAACTTCAGAAGATATCACAGCTGTAGTATCAGTGAATGATGCACAAACTTCAGCAGACATCAAAGCTGCAGTGTTAGTGACTGACGTACCGAGTTCAGATAGTATCACACTTGCAGTATTATTAACTGAAATTTCACTTCTTTCCTCTGCTGTTTCTGGGGTACTGCTGCAAAAAGGCAGACTACCTTTTACTGCTTCAGGCCAATCTTCACAATTTTCTGCACTTTCATCTTCATCATCAGTTATTCCAAATGAGTTACTGTCACTATAATACACTTCTTCAGCTTCATCATTCTTGTCACTGCTATCAGGAGGGAGGCCTCGAACATGTCCTGACAAACAAGACCACACTGTTAGAAAAGGACAAAAAATACTGGTTTATTTATCTATAAACACATGCACATGTGCTACAGTGTGTGCCCACACATACATACACCAATTCCCCATGCTCCAGCGAACAAAATAAAGACATATAACTTAATTTATATGGTATCGTGGTCCAGGGCTGGGTACCTTTTACCAGTCATGTGTTGCACTGTTGTCAGCATGCAGTCTACATGGCCTATATCACATCTTTTCAATATTAGTACCATTACCCTTGAAGTTACATTCTGACCACAATCCCTGTAGTATCATGAGAACAAAAAAATTCCCTATTTCCAGATGACAAAGTTATGAAGAGTATTTGGACCTGTGGAAAAGAAAGTACCAGAACATTGCATAATGACATTCATAAGTTGTACTTCTCACTTCATATTATTGGGGATTAAATCCCAGAGGATCAGATGGAGAGGCATGCACCTGCATGTGCAGACTGATACATTTTGGCTGGAAAATCTCAAGGGGTGAGAATTGTTCTCAGATAAAAAGATAAAGGGAAATTACTTGAATAGATGGAAAACTATCAATTGGTCAGAGAAAATCCTAGGCCAGGGTAAAAACTTACTTTAGGAGAAGAAATAGTGACCAGGAATGAAAACATCCGAGTGTTCAAAAAGAAGAATGACATGTTGAAAATGCTGGATGTTTAGGTCATTGTACATTTGTATTACAGCTTTCCAAGGTAGGGAAATGTCTCAACATAAAGAGACTGGTATCCTCAAGTAAGAAGCAAAGGAAGATCAAAAAGAACGCAAAAGATAACAACTCAGAAAGAAGTTCTTATGGAAGGCCAAACATAGAATGAAGTTGAAACACTGGTGGAGAACAATGTCTGACAGTGGCATGTTGTGGATTTGCTGTGGCCCTCAAATGAGTGTGCAGTATTCCAGTACTTACAATCTATCAATACGGTATTTGCCAGTTCTATTAATGACCCTGGCTCATGTGGCAGTGTAGTTGGTTGAGGCACTATGCTACAAGCCGGAAGGTTGCGGGATTGAATCCCGATGAGGTCATTGGGCTTTTTCAATTTACCTAATACTTCCAGCCGCACTATGGCCTTGGGTCAACTCAGCCTCTAACAGAAATGGGTACCAGGAATATTCATGGGGGGTAAAGGGCGGCCGGCGCATAAGGCTGACAACCTTACCGACATCTATGAGCCGACTGTCTAGAAAATGTGAGAACCTCAACATCTCACAACCCTATGGTCTTCACAGCCTGTTACAGGGATACCTTCACTTTTACTTTACTTAACAATCACCCTTGTGGGCACTGATACCCACTTCTACAGCCAAAACCATACTACAGAAGTTTTTATCAAAACAAATTAAATGAGTTCTGGAAAGAATTAATAGCCTACTTTCGTTTGATAAGACATGGACCACACAGACATCAAGGTGATCTCAGAGCATACACAAGAAGTTCTGGGAAGAACTAATCACTTACTTCCCTCTGATACAATGACCATGCAAAAAACAAAAAAATTAGAGAACAGTCACAGAGAAAGCAAGGTGATCTCATAAGCCGTATAGTCCTACACAATTATGGGGCTACAGACAGAGAGATAGACACAGAAGAATACACAGACAGACAGCAAAGTGATCACATTAGCCTACTTTCCTTATTTTTTCAAAATAAGGAAAGTAGGCTAGTGAACTACCACATGAATGTTTGAATGCATTATTCCATTGGGAAATCATAAATGGGGATTTCATCATATGATTAGAAACAAGACTGAAAAGGATGTGCTTCCTAATGTAGTACACAAAATGTCATTCTTCAAAGCTTATTAAGGTCACTTGAAAACATAAATAATGAAATGTAAATCAGTCGATGTCTCCTAGATCAGATTTCAACATTATTTAAGAAACGTGTAGCTTTGATTTTTGGGCCAGGCTGTGTCGAACATGTGAGGACTTTCAGATGTCGTGGGAAATCCTGCAATTGCCATCTTCATGTTTAATGACTGTGGGGCAGATTTTGGTGGCTCTTGTATGTGACGCCATGTTTGGTTGCACAGGGAAGCTGGTCACTAAGCAACAGGGAGGGACCATGTGGTAAGTGAAATGAGGTGACAAAAAATGTTCTGGTGACTGAGTAGTCCTGATGTGAGGTGGGGAAAAGTATCTCACCAACTGTGTATTTAGGACAGGTCATGGAAGATATTTCTCTTTTCTTCCTCCCCCACATGAACAGGAAAGGAAGTCCAATGGTGGGTTTGGGGGAAGGGGGGTTAGTCATGAAGTCCATTTTTACTCAATCTGTATCCAACTTTCTGGAAATGCCCCATAATTTCAACTGTGCCCACTTCACACCTGTTTGCTTGGTGTAGTTTTTGACCCTAAAGATAAATGAAACATGTCCCCCCAAAACAATAGTCAACTTTCACTGGAGAATATGTTACATCCTTGATGACAGAATTCTTCATAATCACTGCTGTGAGAACCTCACTTCCAAAATAACAGATACAGAATGAGTAAAGCCTGGCTTTCAACCCTTTTCTCCCTCCAAAACCCACCATTAACCACCTTCATCCAACACTCACTGAACTCCTTATCATATGTTCAATCATGCTGTCCCTGAAATGCTTCTCTGCACCTTTTCTCATGACCACCTGATTGCCAGATCAGTGTTCACCACCCCTTCTCATTAACTACATGGTTACCAAAAGTTTTGTCATCACTTCTTTTCACTAACCACATGGTTGCTCTGTATTTGTTAGCATCCTGCTTCTCTATTCTTTTTGCAGTTTCACCCGACACACTGCGTAATGCGAGAGCCATATAAGAGCTGCCAAAACTCTTCCCAGTCAATATTTCTGAACATGGCAAATGCAAAGTTTGTCAAAACATTGGAAAACCCTCAGCCAAATTCTCGCATTAAGCTCCGGTAGCAAAATCCTAGGCATCAGAATCTGTGAAACAGTATATGGGTGATATATATATGGAAAAGTCCATTTATGGTGATCGGTAAACTGCTTCATCATGGATAAATACAGGTAAAAATTGGAACTGCTGACAACTTTTAGGTGAAAGCCTCCCATAGAGAGTTTTAATAAAATCTGTCCAACTGTTTATATGCTGATACTAAGTAACAGACTGACTGAGTGACAAGACTTTTGCAAAATACCGTATTTACGCATGTATAGGCCGCACATTTTTTGCCAAAAATTCAAGAGGAAAACTGGGGTGCGGCTTATATTCGAAATCACATTTCATTTTAAAAAAAAAAATATATTCATAATTAGTAATACAGGGTGTAATACTCCTGAAATAATATTCCAAGAAAATTATTTTTTCTATAATTTCTGTCTGAAAATTGTGCTGCGGCCTATACATGCACGCGGCCTATACATGCGTAAATACGGTACATTCTTTCTTGCTCTGTGAAGTGTTCTTAGTAACCTCAACATAACTATGCAGGATATGAATGTATATCAAATTATGGGACACCATGTATTGAATCTGCCCCTACATCTTGAGAGTTGCTCAGCATCCTACCTGGCACCTTCTTCTTGCCGGACGGCCCAAGCCACAAGTCCTCCTCCACTTCCTTTCCTTCATTAAATAAAGAAGTTCGAATCCTTCCAGTGTTCTCTAGCTGGTGCCGCTGCTTACCAAGCTCATTTATCTTAAGAAGAAAAAATACAAACATCCTAAGAAAAATTATATCCATATGCAGACTCATGAAATACAAATTAAAGCCACCACTCTGGGATTTACCAAGATGGCAGATGGTTACTAGCAAGCACTGTTTGTGATGAGAAGTACCCTCTTCCCAAGTTTCTTATTTCCAACCTCATTCCTACCAACTATGAATCAGTTGATGTATGAACTAAAAAAATGCATGTACTCGTGGGTGCAGGCGCACACACAATATGAGAAAATATAAAACTCCTGGCATCTGTTGCTCCTGTACATGAGCTAATAGAAAAGATTTAAAAAAATGTAAAGATCAATGACATAACACATAACATATTGTCATGTGATCCTTATGTGGTGTTACCACTAGTACGTACCAAGATTAACAGAATTGACTTGAGAATTTTACGGGAGTTGCAATAGTTGAAAATCTTCACACTTCTCACAGCAATATCATGCATGTTTGATGAAGTATCATGTGATCCAACCCATGCTCGTGAGGCTGTCTTCAGATCTAGCTGAGCCTCATCCAATGTAAACGAGATCCTTTCACCTGTACATCATAAAATATTTTAGCCAACGACATCATGGAACTTGAGGCAAGAACAAATATCTAAAACCAGCATAAACCCCACTGAAATTTCAGTTTGATGTTTTTAAAAATTATGTACTTTGACTTGAGGCTCTGACAGTGGTGACTGTCTCCTGGGATGTGACTTGAAGTAGCCATTAAGAGGTGTGCTAACATTTCAGAAGAAAATAGTGCCTCTGTCCTCACGGTTAAAAGTAAGTCAAGCAAATAACCAACAAGAACTACGCAGCAAGCAGGTCTGACCCTGAACATGGAGGCAGTATGTTTTCATAAAATGTCAGTAAACTTCAACCAGACTAAGGGCATCATGACCCAGGACAGAGTATAAACCTGTCTGAAATATGTAGGACATGAACCATCCCTGTAAATCCTTTCCCACATTCAAGTCTCTATCAATACAACTTAGATCTACCAACATCTAAACAAAAATAAGATCCACCAGCCTGCAGTCTCTCATGCATGCATACATACACAAACACACAACCCTCGAAGAGGGTAATGCTTGCATTTCTGTTTGTATGTTAGCAACTAATTATGTATAGGAGTAGAAGAGGGGGAACATGGTAGCATACTTGATTGAAGCACTATTCTACAAGTTGGAAGGTCATGCATTTGAATCCTAATGAGGTCACTGGATTTTTCAGTTGACCTAATCCTTCCAGTCGCACTGTGGCCCTGCGGTTGACTAAGCCTCTTAATGGAAATGAGTTCCAGGAATATTCCTGGGGGTAAAGGGTGGCCAGCACATAAGGCTGACAACCTCAGTGCCATCTGAGCCGACTGTCTAGAAAATGTGGGAACCTCAATGTCTCACAACCCTATGGGCCTCCACAGCCTGTTACAAGAATAGCTTTTATCCTTACCTTTTTTTTACCTTACAAGGGCAGATGATGGTAGCTATAAATGGCAGTGGAAGGTATACTTAGTGCTGTAACATGAACCTTTGCCAAAGAGACTGCAGGTACTTCCAGACAGCAGCATTATTTGCTGTATATTATTATTCTATGAATTTTCACATCTTAGTATAAATTTAGATGCCTTTTCCCAAATGTTTCAAGTTCACAGCATGCACTGTGAGCAAGTACGATGCTGATAACTGCTAGAGTTTCCTACTGAAAGGTCAACGGGGTTATCCTGATAATTTTATATGTGCACAAGCATCCACCGACTTTCATGGTGAATGGCCAAGCATACTTCTGTAGCCATGGCCTCTGTGTGTTATTCAATGATGATGTCAGCATCTAGACTGTACAGCATCTCATACTAGGGCGACTCATGAACGATGAACTGGAAAGGATTTTGAAGGAAGGGGTCATGGCCTGATTGAGGTACTAACCCAGAACTTGCCTGGAGGGACTGAGGAAAGCACTTATGAAGGTACTCTCAATAGCCAATATCTTGGCCAAGAGTGGAACCAAGCACCTTCCAAATACATGCCTACAACATTACTGCTAGATGAACTGAACCGGCTTGGTATAATGACGGCTGTATCCCTTCACACACACATCATCACCACACCAATCTGCTAAGTGCTTTGATCCAATTCAAGTATGCATTAAAAAATTGGGACTTACCAACTGGTAACACCTGCCGAAGATCCAGCATTGCTAATCGGACTCCAAATAGGAAAGCGTCTTTCCCAAAGAATGTAACCTCCTCTCTCTGACTGCTAACCTGAAGAATGCCCCACTCTGGGTACACTGTCATTAGTACACCTTCCAGGTGCTCGTGAAGATCTTCGGTGTCTAACCTCCTATGTGTAAGTTCCACTTCAGGTTTTCTGCTTGAAAATGTGCTGTCTTGTTCCTCAGTCCATGCATCCACAGCAAACCATTCATGTGTATACTTGCTATTCACTTCTGTCCTCCTGCCTACCATTACATGTATTTTATTTCCCTCCACAACAAAAGGCATAACAGGGTGATTTGGTGGAAGCCTCATCCCATATTCTACAGGACTGAAAAACATATTCAGCACAAAAACATCATAAGTCTTACCACCTTCATTAACTGCAGCCACAAATGCAAATGGTGGGCGTATTTCGGATATGGTACCTTCATACACCCTGCCTTCAAAAAGTCCTTCACGGACAGAAGGATATACAAATTCAAAGGGCAGGGAACGAACTGCTTTTGAAGTGATATGTTTTCTTTGCATCTTTGCTTCTTGAACTCTGGTCACAATGATATCTGAACAGCCAAGAAGCTTGTTCTCACCAACCACATCACCTTCAAAATACACTTCACTACCAACAGGAAGATGTTCTTCCAAGTCTGTAGTTTCATTATTTCCACAGAAATTCACAACACTTTTATGAAATATAACCTCCAATTCTGCACCAGAGATGGAATATTCTAGAACTCCCCTGGTAGAAGACTCATATCTCTTTACTCTTGCAAGTCTCCCTTTTATCTGTTTGGGAAGTTCTGTGTACTGTTTAGGAATTACAGGACGCTGCACCACCTCCTCCTCCTTATCAGATGAAGTCACATGTGCATCGCCTGTAATCTCATCTTGACACAAAGGTTTCACTTCATCCCAATGGTCTGTAATGCCAATATCTCTACATCTATCCCTGTCAGTTTCGGTCCCAAACTTGAAACCCTGGGGACTGTTTCTTACTTCTTGCTGCTCCGTTACTGGGCCTGTTCCAGTAGCTGACCTACTCTCCAAGGTGTGTGCAGACAGCTTGTAATCAAAATCTATGTCTATGTTTGCTGCATATGGTATGTCTTTTTTCCCATCGTACAGCGTCATATTGCTTACAGCTACCAACCTTCCTGGTGTAAGATTCTGTTTTATTTGCAAGTCTGTGATGGAAACTCCTCTAACAAAAATGCCTTCTTTAAAGAACACTGCTTTTACCCTCTCATTTTGAAACTGAAAATTTACTACTCCAGATATCTCACAGAATGTAAAGCTTTCTATAATACCTAAAAACACTTTACTTTGTAACGTTTTAGGCAGTTTTTCTTCCTTTCTTGCAATACTTCCCTGCACACAGTGTAATTTGTCATCATGCATTGGCTTTTCCTTGTTTATGCCTTTATTTTCTGTGGGACACTTGACGTTCATGGGTTCACAGCTCTCTGATTTCTGTCTTCCTTGAACACTGCCTTTGCACTTACTTCTTGCCTTACTTTCACTTATCAAGGAATTAACATTATTATCAGCACAGTTCTTGTGGCATGCCTCCATATTACTTTCACCCTTTCTATCCTGTCCCACATTCCCGGGCCGTTTCCCCTTCCAGGCACATGTTGCAACATACACTGCACCTGATGGGTGATCCCTCAATATAAACACATCAGCAAACACCTGCATGCCTTGTACATACTGCTGCCAACCTGTATTCATAACAATACGCTTCTTATCAACATACAGGTTTTTTCCACGGATAATAACTCTCACTTTCACTTTGCAAACAGTTGCTGTCATTAACACCATATTGCTTGACCATGTAGAATCTATAATACCAGGTACATTCTTTGATGACTTAGGCAGGGGATTCATATGAATGATACAATCTGAGGCATTTGTTTCATTAGTAGAAACTTCTTCTATATTGTTATTTAATTCTGTTGTCTTCTGAGCCTGAGGTACAAAACAATCTAAAATTTCTGATGAGTTGAGAATCCCTGGTGCTTCAAATCCTGCACACGATTCTGGTACTTTCACTTTTCCTTGCTCATCATCAGGGACTGCCATTTCCACTTCTGATTTTAACACATTCCTATCTGAAGTATTAGGTCCTTCTTCTGATAAATGTGCACTTCCATCTGTTTCCTGTGTGACTGCATCAATGCTCTCTGCTACACTGGCCTGCTGTCCAGACAAAGTAAGCGATCTGACTGCTAAATCCTTATGACATTCTGTATTTGCCGAGGCACATGTCCTGCAGACACAACCACATGTGTGCTTCCTTACACTCAAGTGATCCACAGAGAAGCTGTCCCAACAGTTCAGATGTATCACTTGTCTATGATACATGTCATCTTCGTCAGTTATTTGGTCAACAGAAAAACCAGTCTCTTTCAAAGACATGTGGCATGATGTCATGCTGTCATCACTTACAGCCTCCTCATCCGAGTTTGCCACCAATCTGTCTGCAGCCTGACAACCTTCCAGCTGTTTTTCAACATCACTTTCAATATAAACACCTGTTGCTTTATATTTAAAAGCATCACCTTCATACTGTACCACATCAAGTGTGACAAGCATTTCACTGTATAGAACATCACGGAGCTTAGTCTTTTTGCCAATCTTAATGCCATTTATAAATACTTTTTCTGAATAAAATGATGCCCTTTCTTCTCTGCCATCCATTGTAAATGCAACTGTTCCATAATTGTACGCCAAACTATAGATATGTCCACTGTATGCCCCACGATGTGGTTTACAAGTGTGTGGGTGTTCAGACAGTGACGAGAAACTGTCGTCATGCAAGGACAACTCAGATGACTGGTCTCGTGACTCCTGGCACAATTTACTTGGTGCCTGTGTGTCTGGTATGTTACTTGCTCCTGTAGATGACAATAAACTTCTTGGTACATACATAAGACAGTGCTTCTGATTGGTCACAGATCCAGATACAAGCGTCCATCTTGTGGAAGATAATGCAGACATATCTTCAGCTGATGACTGTAATGACAGTGGCATAAAAATTGGCACTAAAATTTGTGGAATATCTGAAACAATTTTATTTGAGTTTAACTCACATGAATCCACTGGTTGTGCTGCATAAACATTTAACTCATTTTCAAATGTTCCAACAAATTCCTGTGGTAATGTATCCTGCACACATGTAGATACTCCAACTGAATGCAAATTACATAGCTGTTCACTGCATACTGCTTTTGTAGAATGCTCAGATGCAGCATTTGGGTTCATGGGTACTTTGTCCTGTGATATTAAAGCCCTGTATTCAGAAACTGAATTATGGGAGGACAGTTTATGTAGGGTGACTGGTATTTGAATACACTGATCTGAAGATGTCAATATATTGCATGGCTTATGTTCATGTGATGTGATACCAGTAACTTGGACTGTCATCCCAGACTGAGGACCTGAAAGTGATTTTGGTATGGCAACAACATTACTTGGTTTCAATGGGTCTGGAGGCATCTCTAATGCAATTTCCAACACACCTGGTGATCCATATATTCTATCTTGTGTATGTGATGGTCCTGATGGCATTCTGATCCCTGTCTTTGCAAATATGTCTACAGTGACACTATCCTTGCCATGATGAGATATGCTGCTTTTGGGCTGTTTTGTAAGTTCATAGGGAAAGGTTACAAAACCAGTCAATGTCATTCTAAACTGAGAGTCCATTTCTGCTGCTGATGTAAGAGATGTGAAAAGCTCATATGAAAACTTAAGATTTATAGTCTGTAGCTTTGAATCATTCAAAACAATGCCAATGAGAGAGAGACAAGGAATCTTCTCAGACTTGTCTTGTATTGAATGTGGACTCCAATACAAAGCCACTGCTCCATATTTTCCTTCTGATATGTCAGATGGGGTGTCTGTTTCCTCTTGTTCTGATATGTTCAGTGAACCAACTCCATCTTGTTCTGGTATGTTAGTTAGATCAGCTCCTCCACCTTGTTCTGGTAAGTCAGGTTGGCCAATTCCTCCATCTTGTTTTGATATGTCAGGCAGACCAGCTCCTCCATCTTGTTCTGATGTAACAGGTGGACCATGTTCTGACAAGTCTGTTAGACCTGTTCCTCCACCCTGTTCTGGCAAGTCAGGTTGGCCAATTCTTCCATCTTGTTTTGATATGTCAGGTGGACTAACTGCTCCATCTTGTTCTGATATAATGGGTGGAACATGTTCTGATATGTCTGTTAGACCAATTCCTCCACCCTGTTCTGGCAAGTCAGGTTGGTCAACTCTTCCATCTTGTTTTGATATGTCAGGTGGACTAACTGCTCCATCTTGTTCTGATATAATGGGTGGAACATGTTCTGATATGTCTGTTAGACCAATTCCTCCACCTTGTTCTGGTAAGTCAGGTTTGACAACTCCTCCATCTTGTTTTGATATGTCAGATGGACCAACTCCTCCATCTTCTTTTGATATGTCAGGTGGACTACATTCTGATATGTCTATTAGACCAACTCCTTCACCTTGTTCTGATAAGTCAGGTTGGCCAGCTCCTCCAACTTGTTTTGATATGCAAGGCAGACCAATGCCTTCACCTCGTTCTGATATATCAGGGAGACCAACACCTCCACCTTGTTCTAGTATGTTCGGTGGACCAACTCCTCCATGCCATTCTAACTTGCCAGGTGAATGATGTGACAGTTCATGAGCCACTGTGCGAAGTGTGTCATGCCTTGTGTATTCTTGTGAATAAGATGCCACTGCTTTGACATTACTTTCTTGCGACTTATCCAATGAAGCATTAGTGAAGTACGCATCTTTACTGATGCTCATACTACATGCCAACGGTGAGATAATGCACTTAATAAGCTGCTCTGATGCTCCATCACTTACATGCTTTGAAGCTTCAGAAGTAGAAGCACATTTATTCTGATCGATATCATACTCAACTCGAATTTCAGTTTCAATAGTAACAGGTGTAGTATCATTTGTTTCAGTACAGCTATCAACATCAGAAGTACCAGCATTACTGACTGCTTTATCATCCGCATCACCAAAACAGCGCCTCTTCACTTCACTATAAGAACTGCTGTTACTTTGAAATTTCTGCTGACATGTATGTTGCCTCATATTCCATTCTGCTTTCCATGCAAACTTTGCTACATTATATTTTCTGTGGGCCGATCGTTTTTGTCTCTTTTCAAACTCAAACTCCACTATATCTCCAGCACTCAAATGATCTTGAATCCATTCAGATTTCTCTAATTTTCTGTGATTAGAATCCTCGAATAAATTATTTAAAAATATAAGCACCGGAACTGAGACATCGCTCACTTTAGCTACTGCCAGTGCCACATCTGGGGGTGAAACTTTAACAATATGACCCTTGTATATATAATTAGGAACCATAGTTACTCTACAACTGCAACTGGACAAGTAGTGACTAAATATCTTGATATATGATGGCTTCTCATGATGCCACACACACGTTGCCTCATACTGGACGTTCTGTTCGTTATTCTCTTGCAAGAGAGATGCATTACACTGAAATTCAGAAGTACCAACCCTAACATAGGAACTTAGTGGATAAGAAGGGTCACATCTCTCGCCTGCCACATACAAATTCTCAACATCAAATAGGATTCTTTCTTTAGATGAAACTGTAGTCAGTATGCCTAACCTGTCAGACAATATGTCTGTCACTTTTGCTTCCACACATGACATATGAATATGTTTATTTTCAAGACTGCCTTCTACTTCCATATTACTGTCTCAAAAGCAAAATGTGTAGCAGCTTAGAATGTAAATATGGTATTTTCAGCTTGTAATTCGAGCATGTTTGCAACTCCAACTCTTACTTCATACATCACAGCATTAAAAGAAATGACATTTTGTATCCTTGGTACAAGATAAATAATAACCAGCTATCAATATAATACATATTTTTACACAAGCAGAGTGCGCACACAAATATAAAGTAACAAATGATTCCACAGTGACGAATCACTCTGAAGCAGTATCCAATACAAGTGACCGGAAATGATGAACCTGTAAATAAAAATCATTCAAACAGAATGTAACAAGAACTCTTACAGATTTTGGTCTTCTGGGGTGTGACACTATGTAGTCTTGTAGGTGGATACCAGTGTTTCAAAGGAAAATACTACCTCTGTCCTCATGGTCATATTGAGGAAGCACTGGTAATGGTTGCAATATGACTGGCTCTCTTAGTCAACCTGTACAGTCCTGGTATCAGTCTTTGCCAGACAGTGACATAAAGCAAGACACATTGTTCTTACTTGGTGCCTCCTGCCTGAGGAGAAGAGGGGTTCAAAGCATACTGGAGTGTACTGCATGTACAGGAACCGAGTTGGGTGATGATGCAGTCAGATTATACACACAGGCTTGATGAAAAGTGGTCACTCAGATCAACAGGAGGTGGCCAGACAGAACTCACTCCACACCAAACAGAAATTGTGCCAAAAAATGGAAGCATGAAGGAGACTATCTTCTGAGATGTTTTGCTATACAGTCTGGTAGAAGTTTACTGATATTTCAGAGAGACATCAGTAAACTTCTACCACACTATACACGTAACAACCGAAAGACGGGGCCCTTCATGATCAGCACTACAAGAACCTCAAATCTCAATAAATGGCAGCACGATCACCCAAACGCTGGTATGCATCTACAAGACTACAAAGAGTCACACACTGAAGGTCATCTTCTGAACAACTGATGTCACAAAAATCTCAAAATTTGTAACTCCTAAGGATGCTTACTTTTCTTTTGATAAGGCTAGCAGGGTGATCAAATCAAGGATGAAACAGGCAGAGTATGCAGCATGCATGGAACTGAGTTATCTTCTATCCTGACATGGGGGCAGCATGTTGCACACAAATGTTTCCCTGTACCACACTACACGGTGTCACATCTTCAATTCAATGTGGCACTTTTGCCATCAAGATCCTGGCCTTCCAAGAGGCCTCTTCCTTCCAGATTTTCCACTAAAATCTGTTTTAGTCCTCTTTTTTTTCAATCATGCTACATGTCCTGCCCATCTATTCCTCCTGTATTTTCTCACCCTAACACCGAGTTAAAAATACAAATTATAAAGCTTCTTACTGTGTATTTTTTTCCATATTTTTGTTCCTTCCTCTCTGTTGGACAGAACACTTCATTTTCAACACAACCTTGTTATGTAACTGCCCCAGGCTTACAGACCAAGTTTCAAACCAAGAGATAATGTTATTCTTTGGGGTTTTAGGTAGGATACAGAGATGAGAAATTCTTACATGAATGGTACAAGAATTTTCCAAATTAATATGCTCTCGAGTAATACTATCATCTGGTAGAAGTTCACAAACGTTTACGAACTGCCTTCATCTTCAGAGTTAAAGAGTAAGCCATGAATAAAGGCTGGTTCAGAGAACTAGTTTGAAACATCAGGGAACTTAACTGGCTTGCATGGCACCACATCCCAGAAGGCAGTATTCTTCAGTCACTGCTGTGAAGATCTGAAACCTAATTCACGACATGATTTTGATGTGCTACACCTGAACTGCTATATTTTCGAAGGATCTGTTAACTCACAAAATCGCAAAGTACAGGGCCTTTAATGTAACTGATTTTAGAGTTACATGATACACTGAACTGATGTGATACAGTGAGCGTCATTAACACTGTCTCTGATACATGTTTATTATCAGCCTGCTTATCTAGTCAGTATACAGTGAACCTTTGCTAAACTGGATTAATTTAGGGGGAGATGTCATTTGGATTAAGCTATAATCTGGATTAATGAAAAAAAAGATAGCCCTAAAAGACAAAAAAAAAGCGTAGGAAACAAATAAATGGAATATTTAATAATATAGTGTGTGCTGATGAAAATAAATAAAAAATCACTGTACAGCCTTTATTTAAAAACTATAAACAGACAAGAAGCTGAAATCCAGAGTCTCCTACATTCAGTTCAAGCCAGTCTTGGATGTGTTCTTGCGTGGTTTCAATCTCTCCAGCAGCCCTTGACACAGTCTGAAAGTCCTCTTGCTCTAATGCCACGTGTCTTTTAAAGTTATGTACTCAACTGTGAACTTCAGTTTTCATTTTTCATATTTCAATTTGGATTAACTGTGACTGGATTAGTGACATTTCCTGTACTTCATGAATTTCCTGCACTGTATTAATATAACCTGTCTTGTGTTAAGCTGTCCCTGTGCTAATGGG